ATATACGTATTCTATCCTTTTCTGGAAAAATACTGTCTCTTAGTAAACAACTAAGTCTTTACACACGACCTACTTCGTTTGTTATTATTCTAACGACAATATACGACAATTGACACGCAGTGCAGATGATCAGACTTCAGTTTTCCGTAAAACTTCCATCTACGCGGAGAATTAACGTCTCTAAACCTACGCGTAGTTCGACAGAACACTGTATACATATACATATATGTTTAGACTGATATGTAAGATGATACTTTTTCCTCTGGCTTTCGTAGTGGATACACAGTTAAGAAATGCAAATTCTGTTAGATTCTTACTTTTTTATTGTATCCCTGTCATGACGATTATTTTATTATATTTACGATAGTTTATTATAACTTTTATCACTTGGAGAATAAACTATTGGTTTCCGATTGCTTCGAATATAAGCATCGTGTCATCAAAGAATTTCTTGTTTTGATTAATTTGTCATTAATTATTTTTCATTATTTTTGGTTTTTATTAAACAGTATACTCAATATGAGTTTCTAAATGGTTAATTTACGAAGACACGATCATCCGAAGAAATTATTTTTGGTTTTTATTAAACACTATACTCAATATGAGTTTCTAAGTGGTTAATTTACGAAGGCACGATCATCCGAAGACAACGGGACGGAATATTAAGTTATAAGTATAGTCGTACTCTTACCTTGAACCGCATTTCTCATAACTTTTTTTAAAGAGAATCATGCTGTAAAAAAATTTTTCGTTCCGGCCGTATGCCGAAATTGACCTTCTTTTAACATCCTCCTTTTAAATTTAAGAATCGCGTCGAAACATTTACTTTACCGACGCATTATAGTTATTTTTGGGGGGGTAACTGTCGGTTCTGTGGTGGCAGCAGTAGATTTTTATTAAACATTTAAGAGCTGCAGGTTCCCGACCCCTGCCTTAAGCTAATAATGCCATTTCGCCCCGAAAATCAAGTGTGTATATAATCATTTTACTCAATATTCTTCGGACTTACACCATTTTCGTGCAAACCGGGAAGGTAATTATTATTAGATGTAATAAAAAAGGGATCTGTTTGTTAAGGCAGACATTGTTTCTACTGCTCTATTAATTACCAAACAAATTATTTAAAAGAAATTAATAAAATGTATAAAATGTGGTTTACATTGTCGTGAATTTAAATCGAAAAATAATAACGAATATGACACAGAAGCTTTGTAGATAGCGATAACTTGTGTTTTCAATTGCTAAGTTCGCATACTAATTCGCATAAAGATACAGCTGCCATAGAAATTTAGACTATGTTTGAAATTAACCGTGAACGTCCAAGTGTTAATATTGAAAATGGTACCAGATGATTTGAAAAGTTTCGTTCACTTTCAGACGGTGTGCTGATCAACATCGAATGTAAAGCCTGGGCGCACAACATCGTCCACGACAGATCTGATAGGCGCGGCTCGGTACATTTCGAATTGATGGTGGATTAAGCGTAGCAGTTGCTGCTTTTTACAAGACCACTACCAACGGCGTCCAAGAAAATATAGGAGGAAGGAGAATAAGAGAAATTTCTTTTTTAATCAATCTCACTGGCGGATCGTGACCACTCCTTCTTCCCTCCGGTTCTTTCTGCCGACGATACCGCCCCTATCTGCGCATTTTCTCGTCGTTTTAACACAGTACAGAAGCTCACGATCATCCTCGCCATCCTCATCTTCGTCGTGATCTCCTCCATTGAAAATCTCGATCGTCGTTTCATAATCGCCGCGATTCTCATTTATATTTAAAAAAAAAAAGAAAGGACCGTTGTTCAAATGCATTATCCGTTGTATGTGTTCGTTTCATTCATAATCGCGTAATCGCTTCCACGAGCAAAATGATTGTATTTCATAAAACGATCAAACGGACCAGTGGAATTGGCTATATACAAGTCGTGTATATATGTGTACACACACACGCGCGCGCGCGCTAATGCACGTACACGTGTATCAACGCGTGTCAACAGAAACACACATACACGTACACACACGTACGCGAGTACGCGTATGTATCAGGATGCACAAAAGGAAAACAGTTTAGCGGAAAAATTCTGCACAAAAGGAGCGGCGGTATCTCTTCTTTCTATCGGGGGCGAAGGGGAGTGGTCGTAGTATCGTGATCTTTAAGTGTGTTAAGAGGTTTCGCTTACTATTTTTGCCCATTTCGCGAACTTTTCGCTTCTTGTCACGTTCATTTCTTTCTCTCGGTCTCGTTGCGGGTCATGGTGCACACGCGTGCACCCTTTGTTCCTTTCGTTCTTTCTTTTCGGTTAGTTTCCTCGAGCTCGTTGGTCGTTCGCCGTGTCAATGAGACCGCTAACGTGTAGGGTACACCGAGAATAATTGATACTCTTAGTTTGTGCCACGTAGACGTATTAAAACGAGGAAAAAAGTAAGAATAAAGAAATAAAAAAATGTTAGTATCTTTACGCCCGTTCGGTTACGGTGCACCCGGCACGTCGGAACTTTTGATTTCGAATTCCACGAAGAAGCTCTCGGACACGGCTCTCGGCGAATCTTGATCGAAAGTTCCGTCGTCTCGGGATGGGAAAGTGAGTGGGATGATGTCCGAACAGTCGAAATTCACCAAACACACATACACACACGAATACGAAAAAAAAAAAAGAAAAAAAAATGGCAATGGACAAGTCGAAAGAAGTTTGCCAATAGACTCGTTGAAACGAGGGACAGCACGAGATTGAAAGGATCGGTTTCAAAGGACGAATACATATGGTTGCTACGATGTGGTTTCGTACGGTGGAACTTTTGATTGGAAATCTCATAATTTTACAACCTTTGTAATAAATGTCCGTGTTATTGTTTGAGAAAGGTGTGCGAGCGGTTTTCTAAGGTTTCGCGTGAAACAAAATGCAAATGAACCTTTTAATTCGATTAGTGATCAATTGGTCGTGGTTAGATTTTAATTTGAAGTTCCGCCTGTACGGAGGCAGGTTACTAACACTGTGTTATATACAGTGGGCATAATTAATGGTGGTAACGTAAAAGTAATTGATAATTAGTCAAACGGAAAGTATTAATAAAATAGAGAGGAAGAAGAAAAGAAGAAACAATAATAACAGATATTATCTTTCATTATCGAAAGACTAATACGAGAAAGAACAGAAAGCAATGAATAAGTTTTAACACGTGGTTCTTTTTTTTTTTTTTTTTTCGTTTATGTACGTATATCGAAAAAAAAAATCGGACTTTATTCGAATTGCTCAAATATTTTAAAAGGGAAAATCGAGAGGCTTCGGAATGAACGAAGTTTGTGAAAAATCGGCTGTTACCGCCATTAACGTGAATAAATGTATATAGATACAAGACTCGAAGCAAATAAGAGTGGAAGATACTAAAATTGCGTTGGATTTCGATTTGTCGAGAAATAGCGCGCAGTTTGCACGGAAAAAGTTTAATCAGCCTAGTGATAATCGTACAACACCACGTATGGAATATGTATTTATGATTATATTGTACCGCATGATAATATCTAGCGCTAGTCCACGCAGTCATATAGTCGATAGGTTTATATCATATAGTCTGGAGATCAGAAGATTTATGTTCCGTTTGAACAAGTACTTAATTTAAATGTTTCTTTTTTTTTCTCTCTCTGTCTCTCTCCACGTACTTTCTACAATTTCACCGTTAAGTGTACGATTATTTTCTCGTCGTTCGAATAATGGTTTACATTGTCACTTTACGTTCGTGTAAGTGATACAAGCAATTGTATCACCTAAACCTTTACAAATCCTACCGTAAGAAACATTTTCGAATTACGTTCCCCTTCTTCGTCGTGCGTAATTTAGCGTTGATAAAAGAAAATCGAATGTTTGACTTCTGATCTCCGGTCTTTGTGGCTTGTACTTAGAAACAAAGCTGGTTGTTCCGAGAGCTTGTTCGTTTTCTGAAGGACAGCGTTTGCGCGGTGGTCGTCGCCCTTTTTCGGCATCCGGGATCCTTGACTCACCGTTTACGATGCTCATTGAAATTTTCGACGGGGGCTTTCGATTGGATCTTGATCAATACGTGATTAAGATGTACTCCTCGTTGATTGTTTACAAACGCTTATACGTTCACTACCAAAATCATACTGCCAAATATAATCTGTTACCTATTACATACAAATGTTTAGATTCAGTTGTGTTTTGCATTGTTTTAACCACATATAGTATATACGCTGTATAAAACGATCAAAATATGTAGATTAAACCGATTCTCATACTATTAATATTTCTTTAGGATTGACAAAACTGCGATCCTGTTTTAAACGGAATAAACGATTCTGATAGGATGAGCGATCGGTGTTAAAGCGTTAAGAGAAATTTCCGCTAAATTACCTGATGGAAATGTAACGAAAGGATCGATTGGTTCTGGCTATGCGGACGAAACGAATAGTACAAAGGGCATAGATCAAGCGATCCGAACAGACGGCGACTTCGACTGTGAGCGCTGCCAAAAAAAAAAAAACAAGATCGATAATTTAATTGCTATTTATTAATCAACATCACGAATAATTATAATTATTGCTACCATTATTATGATTTTCTTGGGATCTCCCCCCGGAGCCATGTTGAGATAAGAAAGATAACTTAATATAGATTAATTGTCGATGACACTATTAACTTTTAAGAAAAAAAAAAAAAATACAAAAAGGAAGAAAAGAAAAGGGAAAGGGAAAGGCTAGAGTGAGAGAGAGAGAGAGAGAGAGAGTGCATCAGAAGAATAAAAAACGATGTTGATGATGATGAAGATGATGATAATGATGAAAATGATGATGAATCACGTGTTGGCGGTATAAAATACTATTAGGAATTATTACACTTGTATCCAGTGCACCGATCGAGAACGATTATATATATGTATATTCATCATTGTGAATGATCTGTTTCTAATAATGAACACCCGTTGTTGAAGTATAAAGATTACTCATCGCGCGAGCGTAAAACGAGTAAGTAAAAAAAAAAAGCATCGAGAGCAGGGACAGGGAAAGAAAAACTACTAGCTACGACTCAGATTTGGTTGCGTTACGAGTAATCATGCTTAAAGTTTCTTAGGTCGCCGTGTTGAATGTTTTTTCGAAATCGACTGGATGAGTTTCAAGGAGACCAGGGTAGAAAGCGCGTAAATATTAGGAAGCACTGTCTGAAACTGGATTATACCGTACTGATTATGGTACTTCTGGTATCTTGTGAACTACGTTTTATTATCTCCAGATTCTATTTGGAACATGTTTCTTGTGTGATAATTATTAAACTGATTAGCGCTTTAAGTATGTACGTGAGAAAAGTATGCGTATAAGAGTAGATGAAAATTTTTGGTAAAAAAGAATATGTCAACGTAACTGTAAGCTTTAAGCTCATATAATACTTAATGATATACCGAGTATATAAATATATGAAATTATACATACAGTACGTTTAAAGTAATGATAATATTATTTACAAACACACAGACACACACACACACACACATAATACGTTATAAACACATTTAAGATATTGCTACCAAAGATAATTTAAGATGGTAATATTAGCGAAAATTCGACAGAACTCGCGGTACCATATGAAATGTGAACGTTAAGTGAAAAAAAAAAAAAACCGATAAGAAAATGTTATTCTAATTAAGTCGATTAATCTGAATAAGTAATTTTAAGCGAGATCCGTGTATTGTAACGCATATATGTATGTGTATACATGTGTATATATGCACATATATATATGTGAATGCATACCCGTTATATATTATTCGTTAAATTATCCGACGATATTTCTGTGTATAATATATTCAAAGATCAATCTGTGTTACATACATGCATTGGAAACCGTTCAGTTAGATACGAGGATTAATCTGTATCGATGCATATAGATGTACGGTGTGCTGCATAAAGAAAAAAAGGCGTAACGAATATTGATATAAAAGTACATTAACGTTTTGAAAGATATATAGAACTTGCGATCATAAAATGACAAATTTCCTGTGTCGAGACACCGTGTCGTTGGTTCTTAATGTTAGACTCATATTCACGTCCCCCCGCCCTGTGACTTAACAATTAACAAATTGCTTCGTAATGTCAGCTCAACTTTCTCATTTCAACTGTATCCACCGAGGTTTCGATACTTTTGTAGGAGCCAAGAAAAATCTGTTTTCCTCCTTCGAGATCTGGCTTGACAAACTATCACGACCTGATGTCCCGAGAAAGGAAACTATAGTGGACACGTGAATATTCTTTACCCCACGCGACCGCTTCTACTTTTTTCATACCGCTGCGACTTTTTATGTATAGGGAAGAGGTTCATCAACCGGAAGTTAACCGAACGTGATATTACAATATCAAAAAAAAAAAAAAAACAAGAAATAAACGAAATAACTCTGAGAATTGTAAAACACGTAAACGTTTATGTCGATAAAAATAATTTGACCATAGATTGTGAAGACTCATAGCGTAGCGCAAAAAAACATTGTGAACAGATGACGTTCCGAGATATAGCTTTTGGGTCTTAGTGTACCTTACACTACTTGTTGTTACGAATTAAGAGAATTATATACTTAGATCCACTATGACGATATTGATTATTAGATGTTTAAGATATTACTGTTAGCGCGCCAATTAATAGCTGTCGAGAGGCCTGTCAATATGAAACGAGGTGAAAAGAGCACGATAAACCAGTTCACGAAACCTACGAACTCCTGTTTAAAGAGGTTTTTTAAATAGCGCTCTGTTTTTGCGATCAATCTGTAAATAAATTGATAATCGAATGTGAGGAGAGTGTAATTGACAGACTCGAGTTTACTTCGATTCTTTCGAAAAGGAAGATATTTCGAGTGAAAATTGAGATCGGCGAAGGCCTTAAATTTATGGGTGCGATCGCAAAAATGGATATAAAAAATTTGGACGGCTTTTATGTTACACAAGGCTACCATAGTTTAATACCATTCGCGATATGCTCGTCACTATTGCATACCGTGAAGAAATTACACAATCCTGACAGTGTCGATTCCAAGAATTGTCTCGTTTCGAGGACATTTAATGCTTGCGAGCTTTCGACTCGGTATCGTTGCAATATCACCTTCGATTTCGGAACTTAAACATTAATCTCGGCGACAAAATCTTTAAGCATGAGTATCTGGTAGTAACTCAGGATGAAATGGCATGGCTGTTGATATCATTATGCTTGAAATGTGTTATGAAAAATAAACAGAATGTATAAAAACCCTTTCACTTTGATTTCATTGTTATTTGTTTTTCATTTGGTAAATACTTGTGCTTAGAATAATTACAGAAATTCCGACATTCAATGTAGTTTCATTTAGTGTACAGCGTTTTAAAATCAATTGGAGCAGTGTTGTTACGTAGGCGAAGATCTAAACAGATCGTCCAATTAACAACATTCAGGTGCAGATATACTTAAAAGTGTATAGGATGCTTGAAATCTGTTTATTTCACTTATATCAATAATGACATATCAAGACAGCTCAATACCACACCTGTGTATACCTTTTGATAACGTTCGAAAACAAGTTATAACTGGTTATTTTTAAATATCTTATCTAAATTCTATTTAACGACACTTAAGTAGGAAGCTGTGTAATGATAAGTTAAATCAATTTATCCCGTGCAATTTATGTTTTTATCGTTATGTATATACAATTATTTTTTGCTTTGTATAAAGACGAAAAATGATTATTAACGTTATAAGTAACTGGTTAATTGAAATAACATTTTATTCTTGCATAAGGACTATGAAAAATACTACAAAGTAAATATCTGCATAAAATTTGAACCTTTTTCTGTAATTTCATGGAAATTTTGTCAAATATAAACAATTATCTACAGAGTGTCCTTTTTAACTGTACACTTTGTGGAATATCTTAGAAGGAACTGAAGTTATCGAAGAAATGTTATTTCAAAAATTGTTTGGTAAAATAGGGGACAACATGCTGTACTATAGTTCCTCCGCGGGTAAAGCAGTGGGGGAAGATTTCAAGGTTAAGTTTTCTTTTTCTGGCTATACATTGTATATTCTTTTTTTATTATATTATAGCGTTTGGTGGAACAAATTGAAGGATGTGCCAAGCAAAGTCATTTCGTTTTACGAAAAATCATAAAATAGTGAAGAATCGGGGGTTTAGGTCAACACGTGTTACACGCCTTCCGCCAGTAGTCGAGCAACCCTCATGACACCAGACAGTATACGGCAGGTGATGACACGGGGAGCGCAGTGATTCTTAAAACAAACGACACATGGCCGATAGCTTATCTTATACAAGAATATGGATATGGAGCTCCGTTTTTGAGAAAATCGAGTTTGAATATTATACCTGTGATATTTACAATTATACTAAATCTTGACTGATATTTTTTATAAACATAAATAACAGGTAGCTAGTCAGATTGGGTAAACTAAGCAAATTGCAGCTAGTTGAGTGTACGTGTACTTAACGAATATTCAAATTCGATTTTCTCGAAAATAGAGCTACATATGAAAAAATTTTATTCTACAT